AGGATATCATGCGATCTGTGGATCCATTTTCACTAGAGGAACCCTCAAAGGACCCATTAATTCCGACAGGTTGGGTGGAGCTATTTGAGTTTACGGAAAGAAAATGATTTTGCAGTATTATCTCGTTTCAGAGCTCAACGCTTGGTTCCGGTTAGCTGGATTATCTCCGGCTCTGCTCCCATCGTCAGATCTACATCTATCTTGTCAACATAGTGTTTGCACTCGCTCCCTCGCTTCGTTCCCTTCACGACTACGGGTATTCTCCCACTTGCCTAGTCTATCCACTTCTGACCTACTAGACGAAACATTTACCTCAATGTATCCATTGGATGATGTGACATTTGCTGTAGAAGATGCTGGATTTCATGAACTTTTGGTTTTGGCACCAAATGGTAATAAGGTGAGTATGCAAAAGATAGTTATTGATTGGCTTAGTGGAAAGAAGTATCGAAAGAAGCTCTGTACTTGCACTTTTCATGCGAATTTTATGGAGAGGCAGCCATGACCCCCATTTGCAGCTCATATGATTCATTCGCAGCTAAAAATACATGTTCTAAGGCTTGCCCAATATCGTACTCAAAAAAGGGTTAGTTAGAAAAGAGTACGGCACTGGGCGAGAAATGAATGTTGCATTTTTTGGCTGCAAAGGAATCTTATAAGCTGTTACTTGGGCAGTAGCTTGATTAGAACTCCCGATTACTTTCCATGTAAGATGATCAAGTATTCAGTTTATCTTTAAAATAACTTAGAGGTAGTTTTTTGCTCATTTCAATGTGTGCTTTTAGACCATAGTTGAAGCGCTACCTGGTTTGAGTTCTAAGGAATCTGAGATCATCAGATCGATTATTGGACCAGCAAGAGAGGTAAGACAAGTCCTTGAAGAATTTAATGAAAATTTTCTAAGCCAAGCGAATTTAGACTGGATGGCGGGCATTTGGCACCTCTTGGGAACGTCACTTTGTTCGCCCCGACGCCGTGCCACAATCACTTACCTCTGCATCACTGCCTCACTTCACTCTGGTTGTCTCTCGTGATTCTGCAGAATTGCGTAATGGAAAAACTAAAATCTTTGTGCATTTTGCTAGCGATGTGGTAGGTATAAAAAATGCAGATGAATGCTGAATTGGAATTTTTTTATTGCAGGAAACCGTCAATAAAGCGTTGATGGAAGATTTTCGGCGAAAAGAGGGTTCCGTCGTCTGGCGAGCAGAGCGCAGACGAATAGAGCGTGGTGAAAGCAGGCAACCATGGACGGAGAGAGAGAAACGGTAAGGTTTTCGCTGTAGGCGTATGTAATCGATATATTGATTTTTTAGCGTGAAAATTAGTGAGATTGTTTTTTTTTTCAGAGAACTTCTGTCAAAGGGTGCCGTTGCGGGTTATACTATAGAAATGGACGAGTTGTCACGAGCACGATTTTCATCTGTGCACATCTGGCGTTTCGTCAAAAATACATAGCCATATAGAGACATATTATTGCTTTTGAGTGATCGATTTCTTGTTACCAGTTGCCATATGTTTATACTTGTATACACATCTACCGCCGCATTGTCTTTATTTTATCTTTCATCATCATTCATTGCTCCGGGTCTAATGTATCAAGCGATATCTGTGGAATTACGTAATTTCTGTGAGAAGCTCAACTAATGCAGACTAGCCTGCACAGTTCGACGTATCTTTTTTACAC